GTCCCCTCCTCAATATACTTTACAGGTTCCTGGCCCAGGATAACTGCTTTTAACACTGGGTAATAGTAAGAAGGGCAATATAAACCAAGGAATTTAACACTCTATTTGACTGCCAAATTTAACAGGCTTGGCAAAGCAGATGGACAATCAGTTCCAGTGCTGTCTTCTGCTGTTCAAAGCTTATGGGGAAAAAAAATAGATAACTGCTTTGATGGGACAGATAATGCATATAGGCCCACTGTAAAGGAAGATCACTGTAAAAAAAACCAAATGAATAAAAACTACAACAAATTTTGGTCAAAGGTTCATGGATCAAATAAAGTTATGAGTAAACCAATGGCTACAGATCAAGACATATCCCAATGACTATGTAAATCAGGGGTGTCAAACTCATGGCGTCACGGTGTCATGTGATGTATCATGATTTCCCCCCCTTGCTAATCCGAGGTGGACGTGGCAAAGTATGTGACACATCTGAGCTGTGGGCCGCGTATTTGACACCCCTGATGTAAATAGTGATACAAGGGAAGTTTAAAGCAAAGTACCTACTAAAATACAAAGTTGGTATTGAAAGAGACATATTCCTTACACCTGGAACTTAAATAGAGGTTTCAGTCAGTGCTGGAAAATAACAGATGCTAATCAGCTGCTTCCCAATTTAGATTTTCTTGTTGCAGCTAAGCAGTCCTCCACCTTCCTGATTTTTCACATGAGGAAGTACCATTCCTGGATGTAGATGAGATTCTTGTACAAAATCTGAAATGGTGTGCCCTGAATCTTGAATGCTAATGCCACTTCCCCTCAATTGTTTGGGTTGGAACTTTCTGTGCCTGACTCCAGTTGCCTTGTCTTAGGCCTCCTTCTAATGGAGGACACCTTTCTAGCCAGGAAAGTGATAATTGCACTTGAAGCTACAATTTACTCAGTGTAAAAACAAACAAACAACAAATGGGATAATTAAGCATAAATAAATGATTCTGCTTTCTTGTGATATACTACAACAAATTAAACATTAAACAAATTATTCAGTCTGGGACATTCTTTGTATGTGGTATGGGAAGCATTGTTCTATGTGCTTGTTGGCTGTTCCTTAGGCATCCCCTATTTTCTCCTTTTAATAGCATATTTAAGCATATCACATGACTGGGAGATGCCCAACACTTTTGGAGACACAATAGTTGTGCAATATTTTGGACACATGGTAAAGAACCCATATCAATAGAGCTTTTTATTTACTTTCTGACTAGAAGTGTCATAACAGCAATAATTTGGGTTATCATGAGTAAGTCATACAATTGCAGATGCAATTTGTCATTAGCCAATCCAAGCATGTCAGTGACTTTATTGAATATTAAATGAATACTTTCCCCAAAAGGTGTTTGGGTTTGTTTGTTTTTTTACTTTCCTCAATGGCATCATCACAGCTAACTGATTTTTTTTTCCTGTGTGTGTTTAAAAAAAAAAAGGCAAAACAAAATATAGAAAAAGCTTGGCACTTTTTTTTTATCCCCAAACAAAGATTACATGCACAGCAATTACATGCACTGGCTTTACAGTATTGCTTTGCAGGATTAAGAAGATAAATGTTCATTGCTTTTAATCCTCCCCATGATTCATGAGACTCTGGGTAGCTTGTCCCCACCTCCTGAGAGTATCTACAGAACATGTGGTTGTTCTATCTGTGGCTTAAATTATAGATAAATCTGTGAAGTAAATAGCAGATTGTTGTCCTCTGACAGAGAAGCTTCCTTATGTCTCCTGCAGTGGTCCCCTGATTACCACAAAGAATGTTACTTCTTTGCTTGGTTATTAAGATCTTGAGGGAGAGGGATTCTATCAGAGTAGGTAGTGTTATGAGGCCCTGGATGATCACTTGTCATGCTAACTTGAAAGCAACATAGCTATAACAGCAGCTGCATGAACTCATGAGAGAAACAGCTGAAAGCTTTGGCTTCTATTGTTGCACAACATATTCGGAGTTCTTGCTTACTGAGGGGGGTAATTACAAGTTAAGCAAGATGTGCCTAATGTAAAGAAAGCATGACATATCAAACTGGTAATCACACCATTTGGATTAGCCTTCCATTTTGCTTCCTGTTGTAATTACATCAGGTAAAGGCAAAATTTAAAAGATGCATTACGGCTTGTTTTAAGAAAAAAAAAAAAAACAGTAATCAGCCTAGGATGCAAGAATAGAGCTTGAAGAGAGTCGCATATAGGTATGTTCCTCTCCCTCACTTGGGTACTTTAGGCCAATAATTGTGCAGAACAACAGATCTATCCTGAGCCTTTTTTCCCCAGCTTTCCATAGCTTCTAAAAAAATCTGAAATATATTATATTTATATCAGGTAGTCAACAAATCAAGGCTAATGAAAGTCCAATCCATTTTACAAGTATAAATACCCACTGAACAAAAGAAATATGGCAATTCCTTTCTTTAGGTTCATTCCTCTAAAGATCTAACCTTAATATATATTTTTTTTAATTTGATTTATATGCCGCCCTTCTCCGGAGACTCAGGGCGGTTTACAATGTGCTAAGCAATAGCCTTCATCCTTTTGTATATTTATACAAAGTCAGTTTATGATTTCATATCTTATGTTGATGTGTCAGAGAGGAATTTGGGAGCACTCTTAGGACAACCACACAAGGGTGGGGAACACCAATAATGAAATTGTCAAAAAAAAAAAAGTTACCAAAAGAGTAAAAATATTACATAATAAAAAGATGGCCATAAATACAAATATTCACAAAGAAGTGTACTTGTAACCTTTTAATGTGAATACTAACCAACAGCTATTTAGTTGGGTGGAAAAAATGATTGACACAAGTAGAAGGTTAAGTTAACCCAATGATATGTGAGTCTTCAGTTATTTAGATATAGGGTACAACATCATTCAGGAAAATGCATTCAGCTGGTGGTGTTCCTTCTGATAATGAATTATCTAGGTATCAAAAATGTAGTGAAAATGCTACATGCCTAGAAAAACCAACCCATGGAAACTCAAAGGAAGATGGATTTCTCTCATCTTCACAAAATGCCAGACCCAGCTGCCATGGTTGAAACTGGAACTTTCTACAGTATAGACTGCAGAGGTATCAAACTAGCGGCCCACAGGCCGGATGCATTACATGCAGGCCACGCCCACCCCAGCTCCATGAGTGGGAAAAACATTGTGAAATGTCACATGATGATAATGTGACATGGTGAGTTTGACACCGGTGATATAGAGAAATATATAGATCCAAATGAAAAGCCTTTGAATTTTATTTTTATAATTATATTTACATTTACTTGAAACATACACTGAAAATATAGTACCCTCTTATTGTAAGCAATGGTAAAGGAGAATAATTAGCATAGCTACTTTGCTCATTCTATGTATATCTTTATGTTTAATCCTACCTCCAACAGCTACAAGTCCTTAAATTCTACTACATATTATTGGATATCAATTAAGGTGCAAATAAACCCATCTATAAAAACTTCTATCATTTTTAAGGCTTTTTCCTGAAAAATGAATTGTAAAAAAGGGGGTTGATGTATAGCATGGCTAGTAGAGGGGGGTTAAGGGGGGGTTACCTTCCAACACTTAGGATTCCTATGGAAGCGGTTTATATCATTGTTATTGCTTTTCTATACTTTGATCTAATGTTGTTACAGTTTAGACCAATATTTAGGTTCAATATAAACAGTCATTTAGTTCAGAAAGACATCTGCATAAGGGAATGCTTTAAAAGGATGCAGGTTTTATACTGAATGGCATCTTTTCAGTGAGGAAGTTATCACTTGTACCAATAATGCTCATGCAACCAATTTGATCTCTAACCTTTTGAATGATGCAGAAAGAAGAAAAATGTCAATGCATATTGGGGAAATAATATACACATTGCCAGCTGATAAAATCTGCCATTTGCAAGTAGCAAAGAACCTGTGATCTTCTGAAAGCCATTTCTATCCATTCAACACTCAAAGCTATTCTTTAAGCAGGTGCTTCTTTCTTGGCATTTCCCCTTTTCAATTATTATAGAATATTGGGGAAATATATTTTAAAATCACTTAAATAGAAAAGCAGTATTCAAAACACCTCAATCTAGAGGGTCCTTTTTCCCAAAGACTGTTCACATTTCTATTTTCAGGGTATACTGCTTCCAGGTAGTGGTGCGGTAGCCTAGAGGTGGAGTTCTCACCTCACAATCAGGAGGCAGTGAATTCGATCCTAGGTAGAGGCAAATATTTCTTTATCTGGGCATATTGAGATTATATCTGCTGAATATAACTCTGCATTGGCGCCAGGAAGGGCATCCGGCCAGTTAACACTCAGCTCCATTCAGTTGCCCAGACTCCACCCCAGAAGGGATTATGGGGTCATTAAAAGACAATGATAATTGCTTCCAGGTCCCCTGCCATGTGGCAAACTTTTTTTAAAAACCAAAAGATACTTCAAAGAGTTTATAGCACATGTAATAAACACCATTCTCCAGACTCCATCTGTTTACTGAATACATCCTGGCCAAAAGGTCATGCTGTAGGTTCCTTTCTTTCTTGAGAAAAGAAAATGGGGTCCTGGAAGTTGATCTTAATGGTTGTAAGTCTCCTCAGACTGAAAAAGACTGCTCAACCAGGTCAGGATGGCCTCAAAGCAACAAAAGCAATACTGTTCTTCAGGGCCTTTGGAGTAGAGAGAATAATGTAAGGGTAAAAGCTTTTTATTGGGACTGTTTGGGTTGACCAACATGTATGTGGCCTATGTTATTATGTATGGTTTTTTTTTTTTTTAAAAATAATTTATGCATGAAAAATTATCTGATTTTTTGAGTAGGTGAAAAATATATAGATCTGTGTGAGAAATATATAGATCTGTGTGAATAAGTAAGTGTATAGTGCAGATCTTTCAATATGTAGGGAGGGTGGGGGTGGGGATTTTAAATTCCAGTATCGAACAAGTTTGGGAAGATCTAAATAAGTTTTTAACTTCAGTCCTTATTTGTTTTCTACCTGCAAAGATGAATCCACATCCTCCAAGATCTCAGTAGGGTAGCTTTAGCTTGTCATGTCTTGAAGCAACGAAGTCAAAACGATGGTCTGCCAAAATAGAAGGGGGGGGGATAAAAAGGACTTACTGAAAACAGTAATATAGAGAAATAAAAGTTACAAACATTAATTACTTTACAGTACAAGAACTTTGGAACCATGTCACAATTACTCTAAGTAAGGTTATGGTGAACTTCAGAGATGTTTCACCTCATGATTAAAAAGTTTAATTTATTCTCCCCCCCCCCCCCAAGATTCTACTTCCCGGGTAGTTTCATTTGATCCAGGTAGTCCTCCTTTCTCTGCTCATGTGGCTCAAATGCTACATTTTAAAAGAATAAATTGTAGATGTATATGTAAATCACCTACCCACTCTAAGTAAGATTTTGCTAGTCTTTATGCGGGGCATTCTTTGCACTTCTTTCAATATTGCTGCTTGAAAAAGCCCTTACTTAAAATTCAGTAATAAATTCCTTCTTTGTTAATTGCTTTAAGAGGCAAAACTGTATACCGGAGGTCTTCAAACTTGGCAGCTTTAAGACTTGTGGACTTCAACTCCCAGAATTCTCCAGCCAGTTAAGCTAAACTAAGCTGGCTGGAGAATTCCGGGAGTTGAAGTCCACAAGTCTTAAAGCTGCCAAGTTTGAAGACCTCTGCTATACAATCACAATTTCATTTTTCTTTGATTCTGGAATCGTTGGATACTTTTTAGTACCCATGAAAAGAATAAGGTTTCTTTGGAACTTAATAGGGCAGAAGCAGAAAATTAGAGTATTGGCCTGGACTACTCTAGCAATTTCCAAAAAAACCTATGAGATGTTTTTAGCCTGCAGATATAATCTCCAGCAGTTTCCATTGTTTTATTTCAATTGTCTTTTATCCTGACAAGGAAGGGAAATAAACATGCAGTGAATCTTTTTTTTTCAAAATTGCCTCATAATGATTTGGAATCATTATTCGATGTGCGTAGAAAAATTCTGTAATGTCTTCCTAGTAACACTTAGGAAGCTTAAGGGTTTTCTTTGGTCTCCATTTCAAAGTGCACCAATCTGTTCTGCAATTTTCAGCTTAATGCACACTTTAGAAAGCAGCAGCAATCCTTCGAGTTGTTTACATTTTTCTGTGCAGTTCTTTCTTCTCCCCAGATTTCATGGTTTAATATAAAAATATGTTTAGAAAATCATAGAACACTTTGAGAGACATTTGATTTAAGATAGAGAGATATATAGTAGAGAGACAGACAGACACAGACAGACAGACAGACAGACAGACATTATTTTATTTTATTATTTGTATCCCACCTTTATTATTTTTTTTACAAATAACTCAGTTGGCAAACATATCCAACAGACCTTCCTCTTCCTATTTTCCTAGAACAACCACCCTGAAAGGTGGGTTGGTCTGAGAGAGACTAATTCTCTCAGTCATAGATATTTAGAAAGAGAATTAGACAGACAGAGACAGACAGAAATCTTTGGCTAGATGCAAATGTTTTGAAGTTGAAGAAGTTTTATTGTCATGACTTCCTATATAGTAATTGGGGAATCTAAATAGATGCATATCTTCCAGAATTACCCAGGAAACATGACTGATGATTAAACAGTTTGATCTTAATTGGGATATATTCTGATGTACAATACAGTTGATCTATCTGCAACCATAAAAGTGACAATAGCAGAAAAGTTCTCTTCGTTTTGAGTTTTTGAGGCAAAGGAGTGGGTTGTTAGAGAGGTTTTTAAAATGATCAATTAGTGATTATATGCACCCAGAGTAAGATGGCAAGTAAATTTAATAATAAATGAATGAATGAATGAAAATTTATCTATGACTTCTGCTTGCATATATTTCACAATCATAAATATGGGGAAAGTGCAAGAGAGATATCAATTCTGAGATCACAGTTATCTAAAAAGTACACAATGATTTTTTTTTAATTCCTGTATGAAATCCAGAAAAAGCTAGAAAAGCTAGAGCATGAATCCAATCAATGAAAAGAGTAAAATAAATACTCTTACTGGGGTGGTATGAGGAAGCAAAGAGTCAGTTTGATCTAGTGGTTAAGGCACCAGGCTAGAAACTGGGCATCAGGTACAATCAATCAAAATAATTTTGTGAATAAACCAAAGCAGTTTCTTTATTGTTGATAACCTATTTATAAGAATGTCACCAGAGCAGTGGTGGGTTGCTATCAGTTTGTCCCAGATCAGGCAAACAGGTAGATGCGACGGGAGGCTCTGCCCATCCGCCCGGACGCCTCTGCGCATGGACAGAAGCTTCTGCACATGTGCAGAAACACCACGTGCACGCGTAAGCACCCGCATGCCTACAAGTGAACTGGTAGCGACCAAAATTGAAACCCATTACTGCACCAGATTGATTGCATTCCCATCTGAATCGGCAGATAAAGGCTTCACTAATCCAGCCTATGCTGTTTCCTGCCCCAAAGTAACTCCATATTGTCATGCCTCTTTTCTCCATGCTCTTTTAGCTAGTGATTTCCCCAAACTGGGAGATCATAGATGTTAGTTCCACTTCAGCAGGCACGAAAGACATCTGGATCACTTTGTGCCAATCACTCTCTCAGCCCAACTCCTCTTGAAGGGTTCTTGTGATGGGAAAAATAGGAGAAGGAAGGAGTATTAGATATGTTCATTCACCTCGAGTTATTTATAAAAATAATAAAGTTGGATTAAAATAAATAAATAAAAGAAATGAATAAATAGATAAATTTTCTCTTTTAGTGGCATGTTAAAAAAATATCCTAATTCAATTTAAATCTGATGTTAGATACAGTGAATATGATAATTACTCGTACATTAAATAGTTTCCACCTTTTGTAATACTGAAAAATGCATAATTCAGTGGAAACATTTGGAGGAGTTCTGGTATAACCCAGAAGGCTTTGGGGTGAGACATTATTCATCCCTGGGGCACCAGATCATGGACTCTGTTTATTGTGCTTCCATGAATCACATAAATGCCTCCATCCAAATGAGTTGGTTACAGGGATATAAAATAAATCTGTTAAGTATTTCTGCGGAAGCAGATTTGTGTGACCTGCTGAAGCAAAGATGGCCATATTGAACAGAATCCTGTAGCATCCATCTTTCTCTGAAAGAGAAAAAAACTGCACAAAAAGGTATTTGAAAAAATGCCTATGGGAAAAAAGAGCATGTTTTAAAGTTGCATATGCAATATCTTTACATGGAGCTGCCCTTTTATCAGAAGTGGATAGTGCAATATAAATTTAAATCATGGAAATTCATATTAAGAAAATAAACATAGGCAATAGACATATTTAAAAAGGATCTTGGAGGTAACTTAAAAATGCATAGGAGTTGTATAATTTGTGAATAAAAAAGTCTGTATGCCAAGGAAAATGGGAATATGACAAATTTATGTTAAATGTGTGCATACACAGTACATGCACAGTCACAGGACCAGAAAATTATCTTATAAGGGCAAGATTGGAGAGAGATTCTGATTCATAAAATCCTAGTCACAATTTTGGGTGTTGAATTAGTTCCTTTAAACTAACCTGATATACAATTTTCCTTTTACTCCTGAAAGAGGCAAAATTGTTCCTTCCTTTCCTTTCCTTTCCTTTCCTTTCCTTTCCTTTCCTTTCCTTTCTCCTTCCCTCCCTGTAATGTTAAAATTCCGTTGTGATTTTCACTATCTAGCCTGGAGCCATGGAGACTTGCTGATTTTTACTTGGCAGTGTCCCTTGCTTTGTATTGACTTCCGAGAAATAGAAGTGATTTGCTATGCCTTATAAGAAGAGTGTTTGCATAACTGCAAAACAAATCAATTCATTAATTGCTTTGTCTTGATTTTGTTTTCAGTCAGTTAGTTTACTTAGTTAATTTGCTTAGTTGCAGAGAAGATTAAAGTTTACACAAAACCTGACTTTGCCAAAGAAGAAACTATTTTAAAGTGCCCTGAATCAATGCATAACTCAGGAATATGCAAAGAAAAGAATGCGAAAGAAAGCTTATTGAGTAAAATTATAATACACACTCAGATACAATCAATTTATGATTAATTATATTCCATTCAACTGATTTATTTATGATTGCTGCCAAAAATGGGGGTCATGATTCATGTGACAAGCCTCTCTTTCTGGATAATATTTATTGTAAATGAAGAGTTCTTTTTTTTTTTTTGTAATAATTTCATTAACAGCTTTATGTAGAACAATAAGAAATAATGCAAACTAAAAAAAGAAAAAAGGCAAGAAAACACACACACACACACACACACACACACACACACACACACACTACATATCCAGAAAACAACTCCCCGCCCCTCATCACCATGTCAAGCAGGGGTGAAATTCAGCCGGTTCCTACCAGATCGCGCAATATGGTAGGGCTGACTGCACAAAGCCCCGCCCATCCCCACAGACGTCATGACGCCCGTTTTGCATTGATTTTCAGCCTCTGCACACGCACATTTGTGGTAGGGAAGGTAAGTGAATTTCCCCCTTGATGTCAAGTATAAACAATTTCAAAATCTCTTCACCTCCTTTTAGTTAACAAGCTCTTCATGCCCTCTTCATCATATATTCATCCTAGGCAAATCAAATCAAAGTAACATCTTCTCCAGTCCAATTACCAGCAAAAAGTCCAAACCAAGCTCTAAAATATTAGCATTTATTAACCTATAGCAAAGTCAATATTCCACATCTCAACTCTTAATTATAAGCAAATTCCCATTTAAATGCATAACATAGTTCCAATATCCTAATGTAAATCAAATAGAAGAAAACCAAGGTTTAATGTGAAAAAAAGAGACTGTGACAACTGAAATTGGTTCTGATATTTCCACGTGATCTAGGACTAAAGAAATGAGCAATGTTATAACAGCAGAAGAAGGGGTAGAAGATAAGAATTATCTGGGCCATTTTGATTCTGAAAGAACATCTACTCCCATATATGAACCTGCCAAAACTTTCAGATCCTTGAACAAGATCATATTCTCTATAAGACCATGGAGATGAATATTTGGAGAGTCTTCAGAATAATTAGTCCTGGGCTGCTGCCTTT